CCAGAGGAGGGCCACAAAAATGATCAGATACATGGAGCATCTCTCCTGTGAAGACAGGCTGAGAGAGTTGGGGTTGTTCAGCTTGGAGAAGGGAAGGCTCTGGGAAGACATTATTGCAGCTTTTCAATACTTAAGGCTTATAAGAAAGATGGGGCAAACGTTTTAGCAGGGCCTGCTGCAGTAGGACAAGAAGTAATGGTTTTAAACTAAAAGAGGGCAGATTTAGACTAGAAATAAGGAAGAAACTTCTTACGATGAGGGTGGTAAAACACTAGAAGAGGTTGCTCAGAGAGGTGATAGGTGCCCAGTCCTTGGAAACCTTCAAGGCCACGTTGGGCAGGGCTCTGAGCAACCTGACCTAGCTGAAGATGTCCCTGCTTATTGCAGAGGGGTTGGGCTAGATAACCTTTAAAGGTGCCTTCCAACCTAAACCATTCTATGGTTCTATGACTAGGCATTAACAAGTGCAAGGTCAGGGAGTCTGCATGTATGCATGAGCACACTTCTGATGAGGGGCAAGGCTAGTCTTGTTCCAGATGTTTGAACAGCATAAGGTGGGCACGGATGTCTTGATAACAACAGCAATGACTACAAGGAAATTTATCATTGGCACAGTTAGTGGGGAAAGCGATGCCAGAGCCCAGGGTGAGGACCCAAGATCTATCTAGTCTTAACTGGAACATTGTGGGTTTTAGCACCAGGACCTCATACTTTCAAGGATGAGTTAAAACTTACTAAAAAATCTTTGGCTGTTGATACTTGCTCACAGTTAATTTTCCTTTAGGCTTCATTGGCTAAAATGGGCGTTTAGATGTCTACATGTAGATATCAAATTCAGGAGTCTTAACCTGGAGCTGAATTCCACCTGTGTGTATCTTAGGTATTGCCAGACTGGAGGTTGCTATCTTATCCAGGGAAGGAGGATGATAGGCCAAATATGCTTGGACGTGGCCTTCTGCCTTTTATTCTCGAGACTTGTTTCCTATCACGTGATTATAGAATGGATGTGGCATTCTGGTATCTCTTAACATAGACACGCACCAAACTAAACTTGGTCCCACAGTCTAGGCAGCTGAATGCCTGTACAACTGTATTTGACCAATCCTGTTACATACATGATTTCACATCCACAGAACTGCCACCCTCAGGCTCTATATTCCTGGGGGAAATTGCCAACATTAACTAGCACAGGCAGCATCACAGGCCGCTTTTGTGACACTGAAATGCTGCAAGACCAAATTAAACTTTGTTAATTCTTCAGACCCAAACCCAAACTCCAGATCACATATTCTTCACCAGCACCACTATGTTTCAGGGTACATCACATCAAAGCTAACTTATTTACATCATGCCATGTCCCAGGCTAACTTATTCTGAAAGAAATCTCCCTTCTAATGTGTGTCTCAGACTATTCATCCTTTCCTGCACCAAGACACTGCATGCTAGGGCAGTGATTAGGAAGGGGTACACCAAGAACATCACAAGATAGGGTCTTTTGATTTTAGGAGTATGCAGATCCTTTTTCTTCCCATTGCTTTTAGCTGTGAAAAGTTGGTAGTTTAAGTTAAACAACTTTAGGAAAAAATATTTTGAATCACATAGTTTATTTACTTAGTAAAGTTATATTACAATATATACAGTTTCTATTTACATATACATGTAAGAAATGAAGCACCCTATGATACAGTTAGTATTTTAGAGAAATTTACAAAAAATTGGTTTTGCATCCAAATAGTTGTATCTGCAGACTCACATTGGTTAGAACCAAATTCTCCTAAGACGCTGACTTCAGTGGGTTTTGGATTAGACTGCTAGTGAAGTTACCAAAGAGAAATTTAATTGCTGTCAGCTATCAATCTACTATGCTTCAGGATAAGAGATCTTAGCTATGTCATTTCAGGGGCTATGTGCAAACTTAATTCTCAAAGTCAGAGGTATAGATGGAAGGTATTTGATAAGATACAAGAATGCAACACTTTCATCAGTAAGATTTTTACTGTCATCAGAAACAGTTTCATTAGAATAGAAAAAGAACACTGATTAAGTGTTTATATACATTATGCAAAGTGAGGTTAAGAACCTGGAAGCTTATGTGATATGGTATCATGCATTCCCAAGGAATGCATTTACTTTTGAAAAGCCCAGTCTTACAGCTACTGAAACTTGTGGCATGATCTCCTTAACTCAAGGAGAAAGTCTACCTGTTTGCTTTGTCATCTTTATGCCACCATTAAGAAAAAAAGAAGGCTCTGTCCAAGGTACAAAATTTCATTCAAGTGAATAAAAGACATTTGGAGGGGAAAAATGTAAAACGAGGTATTTAATAAACTATGGGAAAAAAAGAAAGCACCTAGACTGTTTTGAAAAACATCTTAGATATTTTACATATGCAATTGTTACATTCACCTGATCGTGGGTCAAGTTTTGTATACACTATTTATACCTTTTGTGCTACCTAATTTATGCTTTTCAAATTTTTGCTTCACTAGATGTCAGATCTAATGCCTGGAAGAAAGCATTGTTACTCTGAGGACAGTTGTTATGACACACACATGTGTTGATCAACATCATTGGCTTTTTTAGGACTTTGCCCTGAGGACAGCGGAACTCGACTTGAATTGTTTTGGTGTTGTGTGGGGTACAGCATCGCCCATCATTGCAGAGGCCACAGTAACGAGGTTTGTATGTCTGTACGCTAGTGCAGTTCTTGTATTCAAAGCGAACAGCTTTCAGGGACTTCTTTGTTCGGATACATTTCTTCCCTTTCTAAGAGAAATATGAAAAGCCATTAGATACATCACTGCATAAGACAGAAAGCAGTTAAAAACTGACATACAAGGATATAGGTCTACTCTTGAAAACTTAAATTTGTTGTCTTTGCTTGTTCAACAGCAGTAAGATTCCGCAGCTCCTTCAGTAGTTACTTACAGCTAACTCCTGCAAGATCTGCCCTTTGACACCAGTGTGTTATTAGGCCAGTAATAAATGACAAATAATTAAAGCCACCTCTCCTCATCTGAAACAAGACAAACCAATGTTCATTACGAAACTATATTGAAAAACTTCTCAGGCTAATGTAGTTCTGTCAGAGAATCAGGAAGCCAAATGAGCAAGTTACAGTACTAGATTCAGGGGAAAAAAAGAGGGCTATAACGAACATCAAAAGTCACAGCGCATTCTTGTGACTCAAGGCAGAACCAGCTTGTTATTCTTAACAAATGGTTGTCTAGCTCATCCTTGGAAATCCTCAGTGACGGAGACTCCACATCTGCCCCAGACAATCCTAACAGCTCACTATTCTTACTGCTTGCAAGGATTTCACTCATGTTTTAATTTTTATGCAGTCTAAACTCACCATTTCTTACTGCATCCCCCAGGGACTCAGAACAGGCTGCAACATCTAAACACAGTCGTAATAATGCACCTCTATTATCTTGCACTCAGAAAAAGTTCAGTTCAATCAATTTTTCCCTAGCAGAACATGTTTTCTAGAACTCTGATCATCCTTTTTAGTCCCCCCCTTGTTAGTTTCACAAATGTTTCATATCCTTTTCAAAACACAGTATTTGAAACTGCAGAATATTGAGCAAAGGTCTTAGTAAATGCCTTCCAACACTCCAAATATTACACAAAGTGATGGTCCTCTTACCTGGCTACATGTTATTCTCCTTTACAGTAACACTTTTATAATGTTTAGAAGCAGCAAAGAAGTCAGCTTCCTGAGATACACATTTATTGCATGTGAAGTGTCTGTGTTGGATTCGCTTTTGGAAAGAGCATCATAAGAATTAAGATAAAGTTTGATTTACCCAAGCAGGTTTTGCAGTATTTCACACAGCCTTGAAGTATACATACAGGCAGTACAATTGCATTTGTGGAAAAAATCAGACTGCGTGAGCTGTCAAAATAGTCTGTACATGCAATATCTCTGATCCATTTGGGATGGCTCAAATTATCACAGAATAGTTTGGGTTGGAAGGCACCTTTAAAGGTTTATCTAGCCCAACCCCCTGCAATAAGCAGGGACATCTTCAACTAGGTCAGGTTGCTCAGAGCCCTGTCCAAGGTGGCCTTGAAGGTTTCCAAGGACTGGGCACCTATCACCTCTTCAGGCAACCTGTTTCAGTGTTTCACCACCTTCATCATCAAAAGTTTCTTCCTTAGTTCTAGTCTAAATCTACCCTCTTGTAGTTTAAAACCATTACTTCTTGTCCTATTGCAACAGGCCCTGCTAAAAACTTTGTCCCATCTTTCTTATAATCCCTCTAAGTATTGAAAAACTGCAATAAGGTCTTCCCAGAGCCTTCTCTGGGCTGAACAACCCCAACTCTCTCAGCCTGTCTTCATAGGAGAGGTGCTCCATCCCTCTGATCATTTTTGTAGCCCTCCTCTGACCTTCTCCAACAGGTCTATGTCCTTCTATGTTGGGGGCCCCAGAGCTAAACACAGCACTGCAGGTGGGGTCTCACCAGAATGGAGTAGAGGGGCTGAATCACCTCCCTTGACCTGCTGGAGGTGCATCACAAAACTGCTGAGCAAGCACAGCAAGCCTGATGCTTTCCAAAAACACTGGGCTTGTGGCACACATGCTAAAAGTTGTATTTACGTACACTTGCATCTGGGGCATTCTAGACCATAATACTGCAACCTTGGAATTACAGCTGAAGAGATCCTGCTCCCCTGCCACTCTTTGCAGCATACCTTATCAGATGGCTCTTCATTTTCACAAGGTCTTATCATACAAAGCCGTGTCTGCTTCACCATCTCACACTGTTGATTTCTGTTGGTAACACGGGTGGAAAAGCCCATTCCACAGCTTTTGGAACAAGCACTCCATTCTGTTGTCTGCTCGATACAATTGGCACTTGAATCTGACACATCGATCCCAAGTGTGGCCTCTTGTCTGTACGCTGGAGAGAAAACCCCACAGAACCTTAGTATAAGAAAAACTCCAGTGAAAACCCAGTATCTAACTGAGCTCTACTACATCTGGGAAGAAACACGCGAGACAAAAAAAAAGGTCCAAACTCCATGCTTTTGCCAGGATTTAGGATGTTTAAAAGCTGCCTTTTTAGGAGCCTGGATGGCAGCTTCCTACATCTAAAAATAACAGAAAAGTGCATATCAGTGTAATCATCAAAGCATTCAGCTTCAGTTC